CCCGCAGTAGTCGAAATTCGACTATAATTAAATGGAATTGTAAGCTTGTATACTATTATGATTGTATTTTATACTTCTATAATCACAAATTTCGCCAAGACTACACTATAAAAAATATTTACAAAGGCAAACAATATTTAATCTATTCTCAATTTGACAACAGACGCCAAGAACAAAAGTTTGACAATAAATAGTATGCATGCGTGTGTGCGTCAAATACATGGTATGTAGTGTGTGTAATGTTTTCTTTATTGATTTAATGTATCTTTTATGCCTTATTTTATAAAAATATTAGCATTGTGCACTTCTTCTCTATATTCTCTATAAGTGTGGAAAATTTCATACTGCTCCGTCCGCGCAATTTTCGTAAAAAGGGATACAAAGTTTTTGCTTCACGTATTAATATATAGATTTGACTAAAGAAACATTTTTGCTGGCGCTTTATTTTGTTACCCATAAAAATTTTGTAGCGGAATATTTAAATGAAAACGATTCTAAAGTAATCTGCAATTTACTTTCTTAAAAAAGTCACGTTATATTTAGATTGTATTCAAATACATTGCGGATTGCTATACGCTAAATCAAATCTGTATCTATAAAAACTAGTACAACCGATATCTCAGTCTAAACGTCAAGGCCATAATATCATTAAAGAAATATTTCCCCGATATATCATGTAGGAATGCCGTTTCCACACGCAACGCCAAAGATAATATGTATGTATTACACTCGGCTCGTATGATCAATGTATCCAGACATGGGTTTTATATGTTTCACAGAGTTTAGATCTTTGCTATTCTACTTTATCATTTCGATTTAGAAGTCACGAGAATACTTTGAATTTTGGAGCGCTCTGAATTTTATTATCAGTAATGTAATTTAATCTTTATATATATTTGTTCTGTGCGTGTGTTTGTCACTGAACTCCTCCTAAACGGCTGAACCGATATGAATGATTTCTTTTGTATGCATTTGGGTGGAGCCCTGCGTGATTTAGATGTACAAATCAGCCCATCAGATGGCGCTGCAGTCGGTATCTAAGTTATTTATCTTTCCTACAAATAATTTATATGGCAAAGCAACGTTTGCCGGGTCAGCTAGTAAAACTAGATAAATTAACATTGTTTTACGTTTTAAGCCTAATTTTGTTGAATGTTAGTTAAATAGTTTAAGTAATTATTTTTTTAATGTCTATCTTGGAGTTGTAGTATGGATGAACTCCTATGTTTCGATGTGTATCTAAAACACGTTCTTTCCTTTACCTTTGACAATTAAAATGATTATAGACAGAGTTTTAAATTGTTGAATTATATCCTTTAGATACTCAACAACGTTGGTTGTCAATAATAAGCATATACATATGTGTTTTATTATCGCTATTCGTCCTGATAAGAGTTCTTCGTTAATAACATCGGGTTAATGTAAAACCATAGTTGTTACAAAACTTTATTTATATACATATATAAGTATATATATAAATGAATTGCTGTCCGTTAGTCTCGCTAAAGCTCGAAAATAACTTGACCGATTTGGCTAATTTTGGTCTTGAATTATTTGTGGAATTCCAGAGAAGGTTTAAAAAGTAGAAAAATATGAAAATGCTCGGAATTAAATAAAAATAACAATTTTGTTTTACCTGTCATGTGTCCCCCGTCGGACGGATTCCTTTTGTTTGTTTTAAGTTTATTTTATACAAAAGCTTAGGTCTTTTTTTTATCGACTGAGGCAGTACGAAGTCTGCCGGGTCAGCTAGTTTATAATAAAGATGCTTATACAACTAATCCAAAATAATTTCAACCAATTCGTGCTGAAGCCGCTAGCTACACTTTCCGGGTAGGAGATATTAATTGCTCATCTTGACTTAAAATTGAAATTCGTCATTTTGAATTATCAACCATCCCGGTATGTCGAAAACAATACTTCAAAAGGACTCAGGGCGCCGTACATCAAAAAATAACTCGAGACTGTACCTAATTGATATTATAATATTATTCTTGTTTCAAACGAAAAGTATCGTCTTAAAATAAAGGCACCAAGTACAAAAGGCTCCTTTTAACGTTCCATAAAAATATAACAAGATAAACTTGTTAGAGTAACGCTATGAATTCTTTTTCGGCAATATTTCCTCGGCAAAGCAGGCCAGTTGTCTGAATGTGCCGTTGCTCACCTTTATTTTTCAAACGAGTGAACCGGAAAACGTACAATGTAGGCAGTCATGGTCACGTGTACTCCGCTTATAAATTATGGATTTCTGGCTATAGCGTTAAAAGTGTCGGCTCTATTTGCGGTCAATATTGAGGGATAATTTATTTGGTAGTCCCGTCCGTTCAGTACTTGGTTATATGTATATTTACACATACTAGAGGTACCGTAGTAGTCGAAATGTGACTATAATTAATTGGAATTGTAAGTTTGTACACTATTATGATTGTATTTTATACTTCTGTAATCACAAATTTCGCCAAGGCTACACTATAAAAAAATATTAATAAAGACAAACAATATTTAATCTATTCTCAATTTGACCACAGACGTCAAGAACAAAAGTTTGACAGCAAATAGTATGCATGCGTGTGTGCGTCAAATACATGTTATGTAGTGTGTGTAATGTTTTCTTTGTTGATTTAATTTATCTTTTATGCATTATTTTAAAAAAATAGTAGCATTGTGCACTTCTTCTCTATATTCTCTATAAGTGTGGAAAATTTCATACTCCTCCGTCCGCGCAATTTTCGTAAAAAGGGATAAAAAGTTTTTGCTTCACGTATTAATATATAGATGTGCTTATGTATCACTTGATGTAGCTGGCTTTTATAATAGTGTATTGGTATGAACAAGTTCAAGACTAATCTGGTGTTAAATGCGATAGTTACTTGAGTATGTAGACATCACAACAAAAGTGTGCAACCTACCTTGCGACATGAGGTCTAAATCTCATTTGTACAAAACGGAACACATGATTGCATTACGGCAGAAATAGGCTGGTTAGTGCTACTACTCTTACGGGATAACAATACTCTCTTTTTTTTCGGGCAAGGGCCGAACCTCATACGAAGCGTCCGCGCCCAGGGAGCGTGCGGGGTGTGTGCCTTGACAGTCTGCCGATATTGGGAGCAGACCGCGACTCCAAAGATGTTTTAGGGTCCTAACCACCAAACGACTCCCCTTGCACTTTGTCACCCGACGTCCGATCTCCGCCGGGATCAGAACCCATGTATAATAGGGGTTTCCCATGGTCAAACCTACAAGCTGGACTAGCGTCGTCAACCCTAGAACGATCGACGGATCGTCGAAGCGATAGTCGACGAATCTACGTCAGCGTACGGCAGCCCGTCCGGCCCCCCAAGCGGTGACGCTGGTTTTTTTTTTTTTATTGCTTAGATACCATAGGACCAGCTCAAAATACCCCGTTGAACCAGAACCAAATTAAAATACTAAAAAAAATACTCGTGAATTAAGGAGAGTTAAGTCGAAACGAATTTTCTACTGGTGGTAGGACCTCTTGTGAGTCCGCGCGGGTGGTTACCATCACCCTGCCTATTTCTGCCGTGAAGCAGTGATGCGTTTCGGTTTTTTCGGTCAAAACGAATCTGAAGGGTGGGGCAGCCGTTGTAACTATACTTGAGACTTTAGAACATATATCTTAGTCTATGGGCTCCAGTAACCACTTAACACCAGGTGAGCTGTGAGCTCGACAAGCCATCTAAGCTATAAAAAAAAAGAAGATAATACTTACTTACATTTAAGATTGTGATCATTGGCCAAAGGAGTTTTGTTGGTAACAAATTGAGTTCTTTCCTTGTACAATCAATCATTTTATCCGACACCCGATAATTGAGTAAAAACACCAAACCGTAGCAGTTTTTTCGGTATGTATTAAAATTATTTTTGGTGTGCATGTTAGTTGATTGTATAAAAAAATTATTATTATTTTATATTACAAAATATATATTTGTCTTTTGTAATTTCATGGAAAAGTTAATTAGTTCTAGGTTCATTGGAATTCAGTATTAAATATCAATATTTTACGTCGGCAAGTGAGTTTTGATAAGTGCTTAGCTTACCTAATCTATTTCACTATTGATTATCTGCGCACTTGATGAGTCGCAGAGATAATTTAAGCTATGATTGCATTCTGTGAGTAATATGCAGATATCGCATAGCGTATCAATCCAGTATCAAGGCTAGCCTTTTTTAGAACAGACGTTATACAATTCACTCGCTCTCGCTTGCACTTCAAGCCTTAAATGGAACGCCTCAGAGCGAGGTAACGCCGCATGAGTAATGTTTTTTCGTGTGTGCAGCCGGCTCCATCGAATTATAAGACGTTGTCACGTCAAAAAGGGCAATTATTTTCTTGAATTTCGCGACTCGAAGGTTGAATGTCGTCTGCTAACGATAGCGAGTGTTTCCCATCATATAAATAATTCTCAGAGTCAAAATTGTAAGACGTACCGGAAAACAAACTCGAGACTTTGAACAGATGAACACGCCCACTCAGTCGACCGTCCATTGTCCAATTTAATGTAGTAGTGAACAGGTTCCAAAGGCACCAGAAATTGCCAACTCGGTGTGGCCTTTGGGAAACGATGTCGGAAGATTTATTGTAGGCGACAACAGCTTGAAGTGTGCCCGTATAATAAATACAATTCCGTTTCCACGTATGCGAGAATTCGTTGAATAAAAGAAAGAATGTAATGTTTTGCCATGAAAGTTCTCACAGCAAATTTGAGATATTTACGCGCGGGTAAGGTACCACCGCCCTGCCTATTTCTGCCGTGAAGCAGTAATGCGTTTCGGTTTGAAGGGTGGGCCGGCCGTAGTAACTATACTGAGATCTTAGAACTTATATCTCAAGATGGGTGGCGCATTTACGTTGTAAACGTCTATGGGCTCCAGTAACCACTTAACACCAGGGCTGTGAGCTCGTCTCTAAGCTCTAAGCAATAAAAAATAAAAATTGTATTTAGCAAGGCAAGTGACAACAGATATGAACATACCATAATAAACGTCGTCCAATTCTTTATATCTCTTGGCGTTGACGCCGATCCTCCAACTATACAACAGCACCACTAATATCGAGATATTCTGAAACAAAAAAAAGCCATTGAGTATTATATTTTTATTTCAATCAAATATTTGTTGTATGTATAATATTATATTTGTGTCATCGTAAGGCGCGTCAAGTCCCTACCACACTATATTATGTATGACCATCACGAGCCGTTGCTGGTATTTCTGTAATGAGAAACACCGTCAGAATTGTCTGGGGATTATCACTAGATGCGATAAGCACGCCAATTGTAGCATTTATTTCAACTACAATTGCAAGGTATGCGGCTCATTTTTAAACTGGTGCGTAACAAATGAACTGTGGTATCTAATCTATCTATCAATATGAAATGTGCTATCTAAATTTTATTAAACTATCTATGTTATTTATTCATAACTAAGTTTTACGAAGAAGAGATCTATACTATAATATTATAAAGAGGAAAGATTTTTTGTTTGTTTGTTTCGAATAGGCTCCGAAACTACTGGACCGATTTGAAAAAATATTTTTCCATTAGAAGCCGACATTGTCCCTGATGAACATAGGCTACTTTTTTTTCATTTTTTTTTTGGTTTCATGCGTGTTTTAATGTTTCCGAAGCGAAACGAGGCCGGGTCGCTAGTTGGTGATAAATTTTAAAGAATGTATTTCCTGTATCGGCGGACGCAAATAGTCGTAGAATTGCAGGAAAAACAATCAGACTGAACAAACAGAAATTATTATATTTCACTTTGCACGATTTGCTTATCAACCTCCACAAGCCACAGCGGTGCTAAACAATAATTAACTTTGTCCACAATAATTTAATTAACCACCTTAATTGGATTTAGCGAAATTCATACGGTATTAGCTGAGCTGATGTGAACTGCGCTTGCTTTCTTTACCAATTAACTGGGGTATCGTGGACTTTGTTGCTAGTTCAATAGAATGAAAAATTGTGAAATATAAAAGTATGTCGGCGCGCGCCAGGGATGGCTAAGCGGTAGTTTCCGTCATCACTCGTATTTGGTTGAACTCAGTTTATAAAAAGTCAATAAAACCTTTTGAATAATAATTATTGAAACTCAACATACACAACTTTCACAATGACAGGCTAAACCGACAGTTTCGTTCCACATACCGACAGACTGACTGCCAGAGACTCACCGACTGAGACGGACGGACCGTCTGATACGGACTGAATGACTGTCTGGCACGGAATGCCACGACTCTTTTTTTTTTTTCCTACTTAATCTGATAGCCCTAGGGGCTATTTCAGCGTAACCGTGGCTAGTAGGTGATCTCACGGGGCTCAAACCTGATGACGTTGCTAACACGAACCCTAGCAAGAGTCGTGCTTCGCAGAATCTACCACCGGATCGGAAACGCGACCCACTGAGAAGATCCGGCGAGACACTCAGTGGGCTGTGTCTGAGAGTTAATTTACTCGTCGAGCCCTTCGTCGCAAGCGACGGGTTCGACGAGAACGGTGACCGGTGCTTGAAGTACCTAAAAGCACCGTTAGTGGATCGGGAGGATCCGAGATGACGTGTTTTGGGCGACGTCGACTGCTTTCCATTCTGTCCGCAGGATCGGGAATGCCACGACTCTGTCCACGTACCGCCATTTTATACTGTGGCGTTACGGAGTCTACCCTACATTTTGTTATATTTATCAAAACAACATTTCATCATTTAAAATAATAGTCAAAACAAGGTCTTAATATTACTAAAAGTCGTTAACCACGACAAGTATATTTAAATTAAAGTTTATGCGTAAACACGGTGGATGGAGGATTAGGAAATATTTTGAAATTGCAGAAATACTGGGTAGTCTAATGGCGTCTGCGCTGCTGCTACCACGTTGCTTAAAAGGAAGCGAGGCATTAGGAAAGCATTTTTGTGCTCATTAACGAAGTTGCATATTGTTGGTATGATGCAGTACATACTTATTTACGGATATTACAAGCCAACCATTTGCGATCGTATAGACCATAGCCGCTACTTCTATCCGTGTTATATGATCCGATGAAGTAAAGATTTAACTATGTCATTTAAAATCAAATCAAAAATCTACACACATCAATACACATTTGGGGGTTGATTGCTTCCCGCTTCCGCAGGTTTAACCCGCGATTCCCTACAAGTAACCCCTGGGTGGTGCAAAACGGGAGCCGAATACATAATCGGTGGTAGGACTTGTCCGACTGGCTGGCGACCACCCTCCAACTAGAGTCCGCCGCCAAATAGCCTAGCTGTGTTCCGGCGTGTGGGTTGGAGAGCCAGTGTTATTCCTACCCTTTCCTCTTCCTTGTTGGGGGTGAATCTTGNAGCCTATATATAAAATGCAAATTTAGTTAAACACAAATCAAATATATAAGCCATAAAACATATATAGTTTCTGTATTGAGCTAAGTGGATGTGAATGAACCACTATATCTACTAGAAGTATTTATTATTTGGAATCTTAAAAACAGATAAAATGATTGATCTACTAGCTACTACTACTACTACACGAAATGCTGGAAGCCCTCAAAAATGCTTCATTTATTTGGAATTAGATTGAAAACGCTTCATTAATGTGCAAGCCCGGCCCACGAACGACTAACATTCAATGATAATTTATGGAAATTTCATTCATCGTGCTAAATAACGTGAAATTGCCACAAGTAATTTTACCATTTATCATTACCGGTGCCGTAAATTGTGCTTTTCAAACGCGCGACCGAAAATTTTCGCTGAATTAATTTTAGTAGAATTTATTATTCAAAAAATTGGGTCTATTTTCTATGTACGTGCTTAGATTCACATACAAACAATAATGATACATACAACTAAAAATAAAAAATAACTATAGGATTGATTAATAAAATAAACGAATGATTTCTTAGTGGACACTTTTTTTTTATTGCTTAAATGTGTGGACGATCTCACAGCCCACCTGGTGTTAAGTGGTAACTGGAGTCCATAGACATCTACAACGTAAATGCGCCACGCACCTTGAGATATAAGTTCTAAGGTCTCAGTACAGTTACAACGGCTGCCCCACCCTTCAAACCGAAACGCATTACTGCTTCACGGCTGAAATACGCAGGGAGGTGGTACTTACCCGTGCGGACTCACAAAAGGTCCTACCACCAGTAAAAACACTTGATATTGAAAGAACAATGAAGTTGTTCATTGTAAAATAGTCCGTACTTAATCATATTATCTGGTTAATGCCGGTAACTACATACTATACGATATATTATTATGTTCTGTTGCATTTTCGTAATCATTTATAATCATTTCTTAATTTATTAATATTTTAAAAATGATTATAATCATTTTAGGTATTGAGATTATATGAACAGGTTCACTGAGCGTATCTTTATTTTTATATTTATCATATAATATATATATATCAAAATTAAGAATTTATTAGTTTCGATTTATTGCTTATTGTTATCTGTATTTAGAGGCAATTTTCGATGTGGATCACGTTGTTCACCCTAAGCCTTATTCAAGACGTTTCAAATATAATACATTGAAATATTAGTCTTGCGCGCCTTTTTCAAGGCAGTCTACGCCATCAGGAATTGGAAGAAGAGGAAGACCCCGGTCTTCCTCTTCTCCCTCTTCTTCTCTGGAGGCGCCGGAGTCCGACATAGCCCGGTCTGTTACCCCTCGACCGGGTATCCGAAAATAGATTCCCCGGCGTTAAAAAAAAAGGGGCAGCCTTTTAAACCGAAAAGTATGAACTGTTTCGTGGCAGGTGTAAACAGCGTTGTGGCTGATTCTAAGCGGAACACGAGCACCGGAGTGCAATATCCAGAATCACGAACAACCACACCAGCCTAAGCGAAATGAGTTACATTGATATATCACAGCTTTAAACTGACTAAACAACGGCTACGAATACAATTCCACGAAATTCTAAGCCTTGAAATTAAAATATAATTAAGTTCGTACTAAAATCTCCCTAACAAATGCTGATTAAAGGCAGTCGTCATAATCTGCGGGAAATTTAATTATCGTCGCAGCCGCTCCGTCGGCTAATCGCTCGCTAACGATGATTTGTCTCGACCAAATTCCTGTTCATCAAAACTAATGACGTGTCCTAAGTCCGCACAATCCTGAGTTATGGGATTTGTCACCCTCCCAACTTGTTGTTCGGCTGATGGAACTATCTCGTTTGGGGAATTGGGGATATTAGGGTTAAGTTAAATCGACAGACTATGTACATGAAGACATGTGGATTGGGTATTTAAGAAAATTCCCGATCCACATTAGCGGTAATATCCACTGAAGCGGAATGTATAAGGGTATGGTTTCTGATTAGTTTCGTATTATAATTACAGATATATAAAAGCGTTGTGTGTTTTATTGGTAAGGTAATCAGGGTAGGAGGATCGCAAGCACGGGTGAGTTTCATCTTAATTTTTTTTTATTGCCCTTGTAAGTAGACGGCCATGTGACACGCCTGATAGTGAGTAGTTACCGTAGTTTGTGGACATCAGAAATGTTGAGGACACAGCCAAACCTACCGTGAACTACACTCCGTAGACCTATATTTAAGACAAGTATGTCATAGCGCTCAGGAACCACTGTGAAGGGGAGTTCATTCCAAAGTCGGATGGTACGTGGCACAAAAGAAGTGAATGACGGTAGCGGCTCAGGAAAGTATGAATAAACTTTGCTCCGATGGTGCGATGGAATCATATAGACGACGGGATCAAACAGTCCCTCAGAGCAATCCAAATTATTTTCGCCGAATGATGTGCTCCTATATGAAGGCTAGAATACCTACTTGTTTTTGAACCGTATAAAAAGTGAAACTTTTTTTAAAAAGACCTCATGCCTCCAGGAGGATGACGTTTATGGTCTCCAATAATCCCTAAACGTGATTTAGTCAATTAGCCGTGTTTTTCCGGCGAAGGACGATGAGTTTTTAAATAATAATGGTTAATACCGCTCATATACAACCGCGATACTAGTGGCACATCAAAGCTACGCTTATAAAAACGTGGATAAAACTAAAGAGACATAATTGTTTTAAATAAATTTAGAATACTACATAATCATGGGCTTACTCCTTTTTTTTATTGCTTAATGGGTGGACGAGCTCACAGCCCCCTTGGTGTTAAGTGGTTACTGGAGCCCATAGACATCTACAACGTAGACGCACACCCATCTTGAGATACAAGTTCTAAAGTCTCAGTATAGTTACAACGGCTGCCCCACCCTTCAAACCGAAACGCATTACTGCTTCACGGCAAAAATAAGCAGGGCGGTGGTACCTATCCGCGCGGACTCACAAGTGGTCCTACCACCAGTAATTACGCTAATTATAATTTTGCGGGTTTGATTTTTATTACACGATGTTATTCCTTCACATTTTTTTTAATTTAACTTAGTAAGCGTTAAAAAGGATCTAACTCAAGAACACGTCTCCTTGAGAATTATCTTCAAATATTGGTTTTAGTTTAAAAGAGTATAATAATATGCAAAAAAACAAGACTGTAAATTTTTTTTTACATTACAGTTCCATTTTTGTTAACAAATTATCCGATTTTCGAGTGTATGTATATATATATATATATATATATATATATATATGTACCTTTACGCCTTCGTGTTCGATGTGATTCTTATCACAAATGTAATGTTCCTAGATCTGAAACATGTTGTATCATACGAATCCCAAAGCAACAGGCTGGATAAGCTTACTCACGCGTGCCCACGGGGAATACAGGCCGCGTACATAGAATTTCAATCTGTGCTCATTAATTCAGAGTTCAAATTCTTCGAACTGAGGTAATATGATTTCATTTCCCTTCTTTTTTTTTTAAGAGACTGGTATATTTAAATTAAAGGAAATAGACGCAATGTTTGCGTTAATGTTGGTTTGAAATCTCTCTCTCTCTCTCTCTCTCTCTCTTTGTCTCTCCCTCTCTCTCCCTCTCTCTCCCTCTCTTTCTTCCTCTTCCTATCTCTCATTCTCTCTCTCTCTCTCACACACTATCTCTCTCCCTCGCTCTCTCTCCCTTTCTCTCACTCCCTCTCTCCCTCTCTCTCATTCTCTCTCTCTCTCACTCTCTCTCTCTCACTCTCTCTCTCTCACTCTCTCTCTCTTTTAATGTATTAGATGGAATAGTGATTATACTCACTAATGTGTAAAGAGCGCTGGCATAGGCCGCGTGCTTGACGTGTAGAGCGCGACAGCATGACAGCGTTGTGTCCTGCTCGTGTGCAGTCCAGGCTTTCATCTGAAACAAAATAATACTGATTCCACCCGTACATATATTTATTGTTTTAAACATCGTAACCGGCTTTGTTTTAATTAAAAACCTGAATTCTATGGAACGAATCCAGATCTCACAACAACTGTATTAATTGAAATTTTATTAAAAGGGATTAAGTATTGTAATAGCGATCGAAATTTTCCATGAGTACCCTCGGCAATGACCAATTTGAATTACGGGGAATAAAAACGTGTAATAAAGTCAAACAAGAAAATATTATTATGTAGATGGTTGAGTAGCGCATATTTGAAACCCCAAATCCTCCTTCTTGCTTATTTTCGCCCAAAATTTTTTCGTGGGTAGTGTTATAAAATATAGGGTGTATATTTTTTTTGTTTAGATGGGTGAACGACCTTATGACTCACTTGGTGTAAAGTTGTTTGGGGACGCCATTGACATCACAACGTGAATTCCGCTACGTATAGCCCAAGAGCTGTTAAACCCTCCAAACGAGAACGCATGACTGCTTCGCGGCAGAAATAGACAAGATGTTGGTACCTAGCGATGCGGGCTTACAACTAATCCTAACAAATTACTATAATTTTAGAAATTTTATTTTTGATAACACGATGTTTTCATGGTAGGACGTCTTGCGAATCCGCACGTGTAGGTATCAACACTGCCTATTTCTGCCATGAAGCTGTAATGTGTTTCGGTTTGTGCAGCCGTTGTGCCATGAAAAATAAGACCTTAAAACCAGGCCTCGAGGTGGGTGGCGGCATTTACGTTGTAGATATCTATGTACTCCGGTAACCATTTAACATCAGGTGGACCGTGAGCTCGTCTATCCATCGATTCATAAAAAAAGAAGTCAAGCATATATCACCTTTAAAAAATCGGTACTTAGCTGCGTGACATAACGCCGGCACAGCCGCTCGATACGACAACACCAGTCGTCCTATCTAGGCCACGACAATTTTTGCCTCTTGTAACGTTAACGAAAAAAAAAAAGAAAAACATGCATTAAGTCAAATTGTGTCGATTTAGCCGTCTTCAAAGATTTCAATTCGGGGCGCTTTTTTATTCAGTTCAACCATAGAGATTACGATAAAAAAAAAGTTATCAAAGTTACATGGGCTCCGACATCATATAGAAAATTCCAATAAACGTCTAACGCTACTTCTGTTCGCGTGACGAAAATTACACTCCCAAATGAAATTACAACTATGATGAATTGATGTTGGCAGGAGACACATGGAATTATTTCATAGTGTGCTTACGAGACAGACCGATGCTTAAGAGCACAGCGTGTGGTGTCACAAACAACCTGTTTTCCATGAGTATTGTGTTTTGACACGTTAGGATTTGTTCGACGAATGACATAAACTGATATTCATCTATCTATCTATATATATATAAAAATGAATTGCTGTTCGTTAGTCTCGCTAAAACTCGAGAACGGCTAGACCGATTTGGCTAATTTTGGTCTTGAATGATTTGTGGAAGTCCAGAGGTTTAAAAGGTAGATAAATATAAAAAAGCTCTGAATTAAATAAAAACAACAATTTTGTTTTTCCTTTGATGTGTCCCATTCCTTTTGTTTGTTTTAAGTTTATATTATACAAAAGCTTAGGTCTTTTATTTCTCGATTGTGGCACTTCGAAGTCTGCCGGGTCAGCTAGTACTGAATAAATATTAGAGTTATGCTAGGAATAAATAATTTATTCGTAGGAGTTATGTACATTATTTATCAGAATTAAAAGAATAAGGCGCATCCTTAGCGCAGGGAGCGCAGGACTCGTCATTATATTGAATCTTGGGGAGAAGATATGCACAGCTATGGATGTATGGGGGCTTGTAATAATGTTTAATATAATACACGAATTAAACTATTTTTAAAAGATTAATTTCGCGTTTTTCATTGCCATCATATTGTTTCCAATGTCGATTACTTTACAGGTTTTCGTGGTCACGGACGATTTGGTACTATCTTGTTAGCGTAAAGACCAACATTCTGCCTGTTTCGGCCGGCAAATAGGCTTTCCATTTTGATGAGTCGAGTCGGTCGTAATATACACAATTAATAATTGAGATTTTAGCTATACTTTTAATGTATAACTTCAATAAATCCACCACACAAGATAGGCCGCAAGCACATTGATCCACATATGCCGTAAAAATACATTATTTGTTGAAATAGTTACCAAATAACATTCACGCATATAGTACAGTTAAGCCTCACGTGAGTGTTAGCCATTAATTTCTGTTTTTCAATCATTAATCACATAACTGTACAATCACTCGGAAGTGGTATACATTTTTTAAACAATTGTCTTATGGGTTATTATCAGAGATTTGACATTTCTGGTTTATATAGGGTAGGATATAGGATAGGTCAGAACTCATTTAATAATAGTCGATAGTGTACAGAGCCGCGAAAAAGGAAACGTAATAATGAACATTCAAACTAAGTCAGGATTACTGAAATGATGTATCGAGTTGATTAGGAGAAAAAGTATACATAGTTAATCACAGCTAGTACTGAATAAATATTAGAGTTATGCTAGGAATAAATAATTTATTCGTAGGAGTTATGTACATTATTTATCAGAATTAAAAGAATAAGGCGCATCCTTAGCGCAGGGAGCGCAGGACTCGTCATTATATTGAATCTTGGGGAGAAGATATGCACAGCTATGGATGTATGGGGGCTTGTAATAATGTTTAATATAATACACGAATTAAACTATTTTTAAAAGATTAATTTCGCGTTTTTCATTGCCATCATATTGTTTCCAATGTCGATTACTTTACAGGTTTTCGTGGTCACGGACGATTTGGTACTATCTTGTTAGCGTAAAGACCAACATTCTGCCTGTTTCGGCCGGCAAATAGGCTTTCCATTTTGATGAGTCGAGTCGGTCGTAATATACACAATTAATAATTGAGATTTTAGCTATACTTTTAATGTATAACTTCAATAAATCCACCACACAAGATAGGCCGCAAGCACATTGATCCACATATGCCGTAAAAATACATTATTTGTTGAAATAGTTACCAAATAACATTCACGCATATAGTACAGTTAAGCCTCACGTGAGTGTTAGCCATTAATTTCTGTTTTTCAATCATTAATCACATAACTGTACAATCACTCGGAAGTGGTATACATTTTTTAAACAATTGTCTTATGGGTTATTATCAGAGATTTGACATTTCTGGTTTATATAGGGTAGGATATAGGATAGGTCAGAACTCATTTAATAATAGTCGATAGTGTACAGAGCCGCGAAAAAGGAAACGTAATAATGAACATTCAAACTAAGTCAGGATTACTGAAATGATGTATCGAGTTGATTAGGAGAAAAAGTATACATAGTTAATCACAGCTAGTACTGNCCCCATGATCTGTAAGCGGAGTAAAATGTCCCTTCGGAACAAGGTGACACTTTACAAAACTTGCATAAGGCCCGTCATGACTTACGCGAGTGTGGTGTTCGCTCACGCGGCCCGCACACACATAGACACCCTTCAATCTCTACAATCCCGCTTTTGCAGGTTAGCCGTCGGAGCTCCGTGGTTCGTGAGGAACGTTGACTTACACGACGACCTGGGCCTCGAATCTATCCAGAAATACATGAAGTCAGCGTCGGAACGGTACTTCGATAAGGCTATGCGTCATGATAATCGCCTTATTGTTGCCGCCGCTGACTACTCCCCGAATCCTGATCACGCAGGAGCCAGCCACCGTCGACGCCCTAGACACGTCCTTACGGATCCATCGGATCCAATAGCCTTTGCATTAGACGCCTTCAGCTCTAACACTAGGAGCAGGCTTAGGGACCCCGGTAACTGTACTCGTCGAACTCGACAAAGAGTTCGCCGTGCAACCTAACCCATGAATCAGCTCGCTGAGTTTCTCGTCGGATCTTCTCAGCGGGTCGCGATTCCGATCCGGTTGTAGATTCATTCGCGAAGCAGCTGCTCTTGAGCTGTTAGGTCTCCTTCGGAGGCGCTTGGGTAGCTGTTAGCAAATCCCACCCCTCCTGGCTGAGCCTTTGCTCGCCCACCTGTCCTGCTGAAACTGGAAAGGCCTCCGGGCCACCAGTAATTCCTCGATAATAAAAAAAAAAAAAAAAAAGCGATTGGTACTATGTTATTAGCCTAGATACCAACATTCTGCCTATTTTTACCGGAAAACCGGCGTTCCATGTTGATGGGTGGCTGGGTCGATTGTAATATATACAATTAATAATCGAGATTTTTGCTGTAATTTTATTGTACAATTTCGATAACTCCATCACAAAAGATGGGGGGCCGCAAGCACATTGATCCACATAGGCCGTAAAAATACATTATTTGTTGAAATAGTTACCAAATAACATTCACGTATATAGTACAGTTAAGCCTCACGTGAGTGTTAGCCATTAATTTCTGTTTTGTAATCATTAATCACATAACTGTACAATCACTCGGAAGTGGTATAAATTTTTTAAACAATTGTCTTATGGGTTATTATCAGAAAATTTACATTTTTGGTTTATATAGGATAGGATATAGGATCGACCAGAACTCATTTAATAATAGTCGATAGTCTACAGAGCCGCGAAAAAGGAAACGTTATAATGAACATTCAAACTAAGTCAGGATTACTGAAATGATGTATCGAGCTGATTACGAGAAAAAGTAGACATAATTAATCACAACGCTTATCTATTATCATTGATTGATATCTGTGTTTACTTTGTAACTTACTGGGTGACTTTCAAATATGAACTGCGATGAAAGATATTTTGGTCTACAAATGCTTTTAATTTCGATAAACGATTATGTTTTTTTATTTGTGGACCCTTTTTAGCGTTCCAAATCCGAGAAAAAGTTCAATTACTCTTTCGTTAAGTAGTAAAGTTAATAGTTAGTGATTATTTAGTATATTTTATGATACTTTTTGGGTATAAGGCTCTCTTTCGCGGTCTCTTCGTATTATTTCTATTATTGTAGTTTTAATAATACATTTGTGTTTTTTTATTGCTTACATGGGTGGACGAGCTCACAGCCTACTTGGTGTTGTGTTTACTGGAGCCCATAGACACCTATAACGTAAATGCGCCACCCACCTTGAGACATAAGTTCTAAGGTCTCAAGTATAGTTGCAACGGTTGCCCCACCCTTCAAATCGAAACGCATTACTGCTTCACGGCAGAAATAGGCAGGTTGGTGGTATCTACCCATGCGGGTTCACAAGAGGTCTTACCACCAGTAATTACGCAAATTAAAATTTTACGGGTTTGGTTTTTATTACACGATGTTATTCTTTCACCGTGTAAGTCAATAGTGAACATTTGTTGAGTACGTATTTCATTAGAAAAATTGGTACCCGCCTGGGATTCGAACACCAGTGCATCGCTCAACCTTTAGGTCACGACGACTTCTGCTGCTTAAAAAAGATACCCATTTAAAACAGCCTTTCGTTTAGTCAGTTTGTTAGTCAGTTTAGTCAGACAAACTTTAACTTTCTTTTGGAAAATCCAATTGAAATAAATTTGACATTCAATGACTTTTATTATACTCGTATACATGAGATTGAAGCTGAAATAAATATTCAATTTATTTCACTATACACTTGATTATTGTAATGCCACATTCTATTTAAAGCCCTCTGAAACCTGTGAGGGATACGGCTTGGTCAGCTTTGAGATATATTGTATTCTAGATTTTAATTCGAATAGAAATAAAATTCGAATTTTTTTTTTCAATTATGAATGCCTGCGAATTTATTAATATTTCTTCTAACCAATAAAACATGCTGTAGTGGACATGTCTATAAGCTACAATTGTATTATATAGTAGTAATATAGTAGAGAGATACGGTTAAAAAAAAACTGTGAAATCTAATCACTGTGAAAAAACTATTGAATATCTTAAATGTCCTCTGTTTAGGCGGAAAACAGTTACATAAAATGTTTATTTATGTATATTGATTTTTTTTATTTCTTTTAATACGTATAAACTAAGCTTAGCATACTTTAAACTGCATTTATTAATAAAATATAGGACATTGGATTTCACAAAAAAATCAATCTTGCTTTCATTTCACGAGGAAACAATTATCCGATGCGGTAAGAATAGCAATTCTAATGTAATTGGGACTTCGACATGACTTATGTTAATTGTATTTTTTTTCCAATAATTGACTTAAATTCTAGTACTATATTCGTGGTATGTTTAAATGTTTTAAATTAAATTATATAAATAAATAATTTGAAAAAGTTGTCGCACAAAAAAAAGTTGGCACGATATCCTTATTTGAGATTGGTCAACATTATGGCTTATTAAATTGTATGAATGTCAACAAATCTCGGAAATACAATTAAACCAATTTCTCTATTATTAAAAACTGCATACATACTTTTCTAATTAAAACTACGAACTAAAGATTACTCTATTTAAATATCACCTTTAATTTAGTGTTCTACACCTGCCACCGATTTTGAATAAAACTGCATGATTTAAAAAAAAAACAAGTTTTCACACAACATTTGAGACGTAATTTTTCATAAAATTTTCTTTTGAACGAAAAGACGTCCGCTCGAAGGCGGCGACGCGCGAAGACTGAGCTAGTTTTCAATATGTGCCCGCTACGAAGACCGTAGCAAATTGTTCGTAGATTCTACTACGGAATACTTATTTGAACGAAATATGATTCGGACATAAAGGTCAAGTGTTCATTACTGGAAATCACTAGTGATGCTACTAGATATTATAATTATTAGAAAATTTCAAGTTCATACGGTATACATACCTTAGACTTGGTCATATTTAATAGTATATTATTTAATATTTCACATTCATGCTCGGATATATCATATTATAGTCTAATGTCGGAAGTAATTGCTAGTTTCATCGGTAAATTGGAGTAAATTCAGTTATCGATTCATTGTTATTAATTGGCTATGATAGACGCCTATTATATTGTTGTAGATAGTCAGAAGAACTTATTTATGCTGGACAGTCAATAAGATTACTGGTGGTAGGACCTCTTGTTGACCTCTCGCCAACGCCTTCAACACGATCCCCTGGAGCACGATCGTGGAATCACTTCGGTTTCACCGCATCCCCAATAGTCTGCGCACCCTGATAGAGGACTACCTCTCAGGGCGGAGCGTGATTTTCCTCGAGAGAAGAGGATGGGGACGAAAAACGGTGCCGTGCGGGGTCCCACAGGGGTCGGTACTGGGACCACTCCTGTGGGACATCGGTTTCGACTGGGTCCTCCGCGGTGCTGGCCTGCGTGGCGTCGACGTGGTGTGCTATGCCGACGACACGTTGGTGACGGCTCGCGGAGCTGACTACAGGACCGCAGCGATCCTTGCAACGGCGGCGGTCTCCACCGTCGTTAGCCGCATTCGGAGACTAGGTCTTGAGGTGGCCCTCCACAAGTCTGAGGCCGTATGCTTTCACCCGGTTCGGAGAGGACCCCCTCCGGGCGCGACGCTCATAGTCGGTGGAGTATCGATCGCTGTCCAGCCGAAGCTCAAATATTTGGGCATCGTGCTGGACAGTCGATGGCGCTTCGACCACCATTTTGGTGAGTTGATTCCGAGGCTACTGGGCATGGCAGGTGCGTTAGTCCGTCTTCTGCCCAACGTTGGTGGTTGCAGCGTCGGTGTCCGACGCCTGTACCTGGGGGTCGTGCGCAGTATGGCCTTGTATGGCGCTCCCGTGTGGTCGCCCACACTCTCCGCACGCAATGCGGCGCTGCTGCTCCGAGCTCAGCGGGCGCTCGCGGTGAGGGTCATCAGGGGGTACCGTACGATCTCCCGAGAGGTCGCCTGCGCCCTCGCTGGTTCCCTTCCTTGGGATCTCGAGGCCGAGGTATTGGCTACGGTATACCGGCGCAGGACACAGTCCCTGGGTCGGGGACGGACACCCGGCCTGTCGGCTGTCAGTCGGTGGAGGCGTGCTGCGCGTCATCTGGCGTACGCTAAATGGAGGGAGCGGTTGCTGGAGGAACTTCATCAAACCTCAGCCACCCGCCGGCGCACTCTCGAGGCCCTGGTGCCCGTGCTGGAGACATGGTCAGATCGGCGACACGGCGTGCTCTCCTTCCGCCTTACGCAGGTCCTCTCGGGGCATGGCTGCTTCGGGAGGTACCTGTGGAGGGTTTGCAGGAGAGAGCCACATCCGGGTTGTCACCAGTGCGGGCATCCGGATGATGACGCTCAGCACGCACTCGAAGCGTGCCCGCGTTGGGAGCACCTGCTTCGAGATCTCATCGCGGTGCTGGGGAGGGACCTCTCCTTGCGGGCTGTCATTGCCCGCATGCTAGAGGACGAGAGTTCGTGGGAGGCCATGGCCAGATTTTGTAGTTCCAGTAGTTCTTTTTCATTCGAAGTCGGTTAAAGTATTAGTTTATGGTAATCAACAAAATCGAAAACTTCTCTCTGTCATTAAAGACTTAGTCAAAACTCCGTCGTAATAAAATCGAATATCGAAATTGACTTCGGATTACTTTAAAATTCAGTGAATAAAATATTCATTGATTCGTTTATCTTTCGGAACGTTCGAATCTGCTTTATGAATCGTTCGAAGTTAGTTGAGCCGAGTCTGAACTTTAGAACAAAATTCTAGTAAATCAATGAAATTCCGAAGCTAATTTGCTTGCGTGAGCTGGGAGCCCCCGTGAATTGCAACTATATTACATGTTTACGAATTGCGGTAATCTATATATTAATACGTGAAGCAAAACTTTGTACACATTTTTACGAAAATCGCGTGGACGGAGGAGTATGAAATTTCTCACACTTATAGAGAATATAGAGAAGGAGTGCAGAATGTTATTTTTTTTTTAAATTATGCAAAAAAATACATTAAATCAATAAAAAAATACATTACACACGCTACCATGTATTTCACACACGCATATATACTTTTTTATTTATTGTAAAAATCTGTGGTCTAATTGAGAATAGATTAATACCGTTTGTTTTTAATATTGTTTGTCTATGGTGGCTAAAACTGTGATTAAAGAAGTATAGTCTTTGACAATAGAACCATAACAATGTTTGAACTTATAATTTAAATTAATATTTATGGTCGAATATCAAACTAACGGGCGCCCACTAGTACTTCGGAATGAACACACACCAATAAGTTCTAAGTGTGAGGTAGAGTGGCTGGAAAATATTTGCTCCGCGTGAAACCTGTCACCTTGACCGTAGCTTGTCTCGGGTGTGTCTCATCTGCGGGTTGGATCCTAATTTACGAGTGGGCGACATTGGCGATTACATACGTAAAAGAGCCTTGCTAACGATGGTATCTGTAGATAGATAGATGGTATCTCAGGGTATCTGTATCGGCAGAAGTATCAAAATAGACTTCACACGTTTTTCTAAATGTAACGATTTAGGGAAGACCAGAATTTACATCATGGGAAATGAGAAAGAGAGAGAAAAGAGAGAAAATACTTTATTGCACACCAATGGGGGTGGCGCATTTACGTTGTAGATGTCTATGGGCTCCATTAACCACTTAACATCAGGTGGGCTGTGAGCTCGTCCACCCATCTAAGCAATAAAAAAAAAACACGATTAACATTAGAAAACAGTCACCAAGCAAATACATTTATACAATAGGCGGTGATGATTATCTAGATAAATATATTACCTTAAAATACAATTACAAAATTCATCTTAGCGCTGCATAAGAGATAAAATGTAAATGACACGAAAATTACACAAAATATTCCAAGGATCGAAGAGGCAGTCACTGGTTTACCCAGTTCCTAAAAATTTAAATTAAAATTGGCTTACGACTGATTGAATGATGACGATTGGTCTTTAATTATTCGCTTTATGCAGTAATGCAACAAAATTATACAGCTCTTCATATTGGATAGAATTGTGGGGAACTCAATTAATAATATTATTATGGTACAGCTGCAATGTGCCGACGTAAGATGTCCACTATAATTTAGCTTCCCGGAGCACTTGGTTCTTTAAATACCTCCAGCTACAAACTTTTATAAATGACATTAAGTGTTCCGGAATACAGAGCGGTACAAGCGTTCTTATTACTAAAGCTATTTCCTCGCTATGAGCTGCTTTATTCACTAGGTAGTCCCTGTGGCGGGTAGCTATCATACAACGCAAGATATTTGACAGATGCCTGAATCTTGCTTACGGCATTTTCAAGATAAACTTGCATATATAGAAGTTCCGAACAACGACATTCGGACCGTCGGTCTACCGAGCAATATCATCAGTGTGACCGTTTTTAGGATATTCAGTACCAAATTGGTATAATTTAGGCTCCGTAAAACTAATTTAGTTTTTTTTGGTATCCTTTCATATTCTGGTATTTTTTGGTATATTTTTAAACTTTCAATATTTTTAAACACATTACTGATATATTTTTGGGGTGGGCGGACAATACTGATTTCCATTCGTTCGTATTTCGTTCACATAATTTTGTCTTTGTCTGATGTTTACCGCAACTGTATCATTTTGTCTCTTTCGAACGGTTAATGCAAATTGTTAACGCCTTTGCCGTATCTGGTCGACAGGGTATCGACAGGGTCTGGCATAGGGCACTTCTATCGAAGTTACCATCTTACGGAATCCCCGAGGGTCTCTGCAAGTGGATCGCTAGCTTCTTGGATGGGCGGAGCATCACGGTCGTTGTAGACGGTGACTGCTCTGATGCCATGACCATTAACGCTGGCGTTCCACAAGGTTCGGTGCTCTCCCCCACGCTTTTCATCCTGTATATCAATGACATGCTGTCTATTGATGGCATGCATTGCTATGCGGAGGGGGGATACGCGATATATCGGCCATCAGAGTCTCTCTCGGAGCATGGTGCAAGAGAGACGATCAAAACTTGTGTCTGAAGTGGCGAACTCTCTGGGGCGAGTCTCCGAATGGGGTGAATTGAACTTGGTTCAATTCAACCCGATAAAGACACAAGTTTACGCGTTCACTGCGAAGAAGGACCCCTTTGTCATGGCGCCGCAATTCCAAGGAGTATCCTTGCAACCTTCCGAGAGTATCGGGATACTTGGGGTCGACATTTCGAGCGACGTCCAATTTCGGAGTCATTTGGAAGGCAAAGCCAAGTTGGCGTCCAAAATGCTGGGAGTCCTCAACAGAGCCAAGCGGTACTTCACACCTGGACAAAGACTTTTGCTCTATAAATCACAAGTCCGGCCTCACGTGGAGTACTGCTCCCATCTCTGGGCCGGGGCTCCCAAATACCAGCTTCTTCCATTTGACTCCATACAGAAGAGAGCCGTTCGAATTGTCGATAATCCCATTCTCACGGATCGTTTGGAGCCTCTGGGTCTACGGAGGGACTTCGGTTCCCTCTGTATTTTGTACCGCATGTTCCATGGGGAGTGCTCTGAGGAATTGTTCGAGATGATACCAACGTCTCGTTTTTACCATCGCACCGCCCGCCACCGGAGTAGAGTTCATCCATACTACCTGGAGCCACTGCGGTCATCCACAGTGCGTTTCCAGAGATCTTTTTTGCCACGTACCGTCCGGCTATGGAATGAGCTCCCCTCCACGGTGTTTCCCGAGCGCTATGACATGTCCTTC